GCCATACTGGTTCCAATGCTGCCACTGCTGGTATTACCCTTCGCATTGTCTGTGCTCCTCTGAACCATCATTCCATCGTTGTCGTTGCTTCCGCGCTGTTTTTGGCAGGGGTGTATTCGGCTCGCAGTGCCTTTCGATACCATTTCTGCAAGACTGTTCGGCGCCAGGCCTAGCCTTCGCCTGCGTCGGATCCCGCCCGAGTGAATTTACACTGCTCACGCGACCGTGAAGGATATTTCTGTGGGCAGGGCGTCATGTGTGGATCATTTGCTCAATGCTTGCTTGCCGGAGAGCTATTGGTACGTCTGCTTGGTTGTCTCTGTTTGTCTGTGCCTGTTCCTTTCTGCCGGTGGCTTCACGTACCCCTCTCTGACTGTCAGTGTCCGTCTCTGTCTTTTTCTGCCTCTGTCTGCCTCCGCCACCCAGCGTCTGTCCCTGTTTTGTCTCTGTCTGCCGGTCCTCGTAAATCGTTGCTGGCCTTTGCGTGTGTCAGTTCGTTCATGTCAGTGTATGTCCTCTCGTGCGTCTGCCTGTCTCTGTTCGTCTGTGTCCGTCTCTGTCTGTCTTTACTCGTCTGTGCCTGTCTACGTCTGTGAGTATCTCTCTGTGTTTTTGTCTGCCTTTCGGTGTCAGTCTGATGATGCCTGGGCCCGTCTGTGTCTCTCTGTGTGCATCTGAGACTGCCCGTCTGCGCCGTCCGATCCTGTCTGTCTGTCTCATCTGTCCGTCTGCCTGTCCACGAGGCTGTCCTGTCCATCCTGTCTGTCTGCCCGTTCGTCGTTCCCGGCATCCGTCCGTGCATCTGTCTGTTTTGTTTTCCTATCTGCCCAGCTGTCTTGTGTCCCTCTCTGTCTATTTCTTGGCTTGTGAGGCCTGTAGCCTCTTGGAGGCCTTGGGGGCCTCTTCTGCCTGTCTCGGAACCGTCCTGCGAGCTTCGAACCCTTCTTGGGGCCGCCAGTGAACATTCACTTTGAAGCTATGTTCGGGCCATGTGCTGTTCAGATAGCACAAGAGTGCAGGCGTGGTCTCGGGGGCTCTATCACTCCGCTGCGTGCCAGGGAGCCCGGGCAGGCACCCGCAAGGAAGGTCCATTGCATTTGCCTTTTGAGACCTCTGCGCTGCAGGAGCGTTGCGAACTACGGCGGCTGACCATTCCCTGCATCGTGTAGCAACAGCACGGCGTAGTGCACGGTCAGAAACGTGTGCTTAGCGTGTCGCGCCGCCAGTTCTGTCCCGCCGCTTAGGTGCGACACGCTAGCCAATTCCCAATTCCCAAGCTTCAGCGTCCCGAGCCTTTCCCAGCCTCCAGCCCCGCGGATAGGAGCGACACGATATCCACTTGCAGGGTTGCGTGTCGCCGGGGCCGCCGCCGCGATAAGCTAAACAAACATTCTGGACCGTACACGACGCAAGGCGAGCATAGTTACATTTTCCAGGAGATGCCCACGACGTATTGTGCTTGTCCGACACTGCTTGCAGCCAGGCGCATGCACAGAAAAAACGACCAGCGACTTTCCGTCTCCTTGCACAGGAAAAACGCGCGGGTGGTGTTGCGGCGCCTCCAGACCCAGTCTGGGGGGGCGGGGGTGGCAGCAGCTCGCCTGGCCGCGGCCACGCCGGCTTCCACGGCAGGCGCTGTCTAGCGCCCCCCGCCCTCCCCCCCCGCCCTTGCTGGGCAGCACGGGCGCCCCCCGCGCCCATTCGCCAACGTCGCGCCGGCGACCCTCCCACGCGCCGTCTGGCCCTTCCTCGGCGGGGCGGTGGATGGATCTCGCAGAGGACAATCCCCAACAAGCCGCATCGTGCTGGGCTCGGGCGGCCAGTCCGTTCAGGTCGCCGCCGTAGGGTCCATCCGTAGCCTCGTCGCGGGTGGCTCTTCTCTCCCGGCCCCTGGCCCGGCCTGTCTGCTTGCGGTCGCTGCTTTCCCTCCTCCTTGTCCTCCTCCTCCTCCTCCTCCTCCTCCTCCTCCTCCTCCTCCTCCTCTCCCCTCCTCGTCCCTTTCCGCCGGACAGCGCAGCCTGCCGGGAACCAGCGTGGCGGCATGTAGAGGTTCGGCATGTGGAGCGGCGGCGGGTCCGCCGGCAAACGCCCGGCCAACCAGTTTGAGCGGCTGAGGATTGGATCCTTCTGCCCACTTCGTCCGATCGACGGGTCGGGGCTGCCACGGCTGCTTCGGGTTATTCGAGAAATGGCCAGGCGCATGCAGCTGGACCATCGCTTTCCCGCCCACGCTTCTGATCTGGGCGCAGGCGGGAATGGCGTCCGACTTCCGCCATGCTGGCTATGCTGGGCTCGGCGTTGTGGGAGCGTGCCGATTTCGGCCAGATTCGGGGCTTGGAAAAGCCTCGTGTTCCAGTTCTCGCCCTTCCGGGCGCCGCTGATGGCAAACATCATGTTCCCGCGCGCGACATCTCCTCGCGCACGACTTGTCAAATTCTCGGTGGCGGTAGAAGCCGTGCTGCAAGGCAGCTCCTGCAAATCAGTTCGCGATGCCTTCTCGCGTTGACGGAACGCTCATGGTGGGGCCACAAAAACTTGATGTTGCGGTTCAAACCAGCGAGTAAGTTCGCGCCCCGCGATCGGGCCGCGTGTCCGCCAGTCGAGGCACGTGGCGGCGTGCTTCCGTTGCTGCAGGCGTCTGTCGGCGCCGCAATTCAGGCTGGGCGGCACGTTTCGCGGGCACGTCGCGCCGTCCGCCTTTCGCGCTCCGCGTAGGTGGCTAGGCGGGGCCGCGCGAGGTACGTCGCCGCCCACCGGCCGCGACGTTGCGCGGCAGGCGGACGCGCTATTGGCGCGGCGACCCGCGTCATCGCTCGTGTTCTTTTCGTAGCCCTCCCGCCTTTCCGGGGTACCTGCACCATGGCACCACGAACGTCACTGGAGGACGCACCGTTTCGTGACCCAGTCGGTACTGGGCAGCGAACGGCGGCCTCAGCGGCGCACGCGTCGCCATGCTCAATTTTGCTTGGTTTTGGCGCCCCTGGCGGTGTTGGGAGGCCGCCGATCGCAGTGTTGAAGTTGTGGGGAGCCCCACGATGTGGGAGGTGATTTTTCCTGCGTTCAAAGTGCGCGGCAGGTTCGTGTCGTGTGGACGCGGCGGCGACCCTTATGCGAGCATTCGCGCTTGATCGCTGCAAGTGGCCCAGAATCGGGCGACGTTGAACGATTTGCGGTTTCGGGCAAGCCGTGATCGCGCAAGGTGGAGCAATCCGCGCAGTGTCAGAAACCAGCCCGCAAGTCGTCACGACATGAACCTGCCGTAATGATGGGGAAGAGGGAAGGGATGATCGGGCGCTCGGTGCGGGCGATGAGCGGAAAGTGGCGGCCGAGGAGTGCAGGAGAGCGGCGCTCAAAAGAGGCCCCCGACGGCCCCCATAGCTGCCACCGCAGGCCCAAGAGATGCTGGAAATGTGCGCGGTTTCCCCGCTTCGTATTGATTCACCCCCCTTCCGTTGACGAACGCTTGGGGTGAACGGGAGGGGCAGGGCGAGGGATGGAAAAGGGGAGGACGGATGAGGGGATGAGGGAGGGAGGGGGGGAGGGATGGAGGGAAGGAAGGAAGAAAAGGAGGAGGGGGGAGAGGTGAAGGAGGAACAGTAGGAGGAGGAGGAGGAAGAAAAGGAGGGAGGAGGTGGGGGATGTGGACCAGTTTAAGCACTGGATGCGCCAACGATGCTGTAGTAAACCCTCCCTCAAAGTTCCCTCCTCATGTGTCCGTATGGTGATGTTCGTTACTGGAAGTGCCACGCTGGAAGGCAACCATCGGATAATCTTCTTTCGTGCCAAGACAATGTTCCTGGGATTTCAACGCCGCGAATCAACGTGATTGTTGCTTCCTGACAGCCCCGAACCGTGCCAGAGGATCATTCCTGGGACTTCAACACCGCAAATCAAAGTGACCACTGCGTCCTGGCAATCCCAAGTCGTGCCAGAACGCCATTCCTGGGACTTCAACCCTACGGGTCGTTGAAAAGGTTGCAATCTTTGACGAGGAACATGCGTGGCTCGAAGGCGAAAGCCACATTTTGACAAGGACCCGCCCTCCATCATTGAAACGGTTGCACAATTTTTCGGCGAATGCGCGCAGCGCTAAGGCGAGAGGTACATTTTGAAAACCAGCCGCCCTCCATCCTTGAAGCTGTTGCAAACTGTTAAGACGAATGTGCGCGGCGCTGAGGCGGGAACCCCGTTCTTAAAACCATCCGCCTTCCATCCTTGAAACTGTTGAACATTTCAAGCTTGAAGGTCATAAGCGGTGACGAGGTCTCAGTCGGAACGCCCGGCCTGCCCCATCGACACGTCCGGGGTGCAATAGTGGGGACTTATCTACACACATATGTACACTTGTATATCTATATATGTTTATATATATATATATATGGAGGAGAGGTAGAGAAGAGGGGAGATGAGGAGGAGGAGGCGGAGGAGGCGGAGGAGGAGGAGGAGGAGGCGGAGGAGGCGGAGGAGGAGGAGGCGGAAGAGGACGAGGAGGACAAGGAGGAGGAGGCGGAGGAGGAGGATGAGGAGAAGGAGGAGGAGGAGACTGATGAGGAGGAGGAGGAAAAGGAGGAGGAGGAAAAGGATGATGATGCTGATGATGATGATGCTGATGATGATGCTGATCATGATTATGATGATGCTGATGCTGCTGCTGATGATACTGATGCTGGTGGTGATGATGATGATGATGCTGATGCTGCTGCTGATGATACTGATGCTGGTGGTGATGATGATGATGGTGGTGGTGATGATGATGGTGACGATGACGATGACGATGATGATGATGATGATGATGATGATGATGATGATGATGATGATGATGATGATGATGATGATGATGATGATGATGATGATGATGATGATGATGATGTTGCTGACGATGCTGCTGCTGATGATGATGATGACGAGGAGGAGGAGGAGGAGGAGGAGGAGGAGCAGGAGGAGGAGGGAGGAGGAGGAGAAGAGGAGGAGGTGGAGGAGGAGGTGGAGGAGGCGGGGGG